ATCTTTGAAATTATTTTTATTGAAAACTATGCTAATAACATAAAGTGAGTACATGCAATGTACTGAGAAATAATGCAAACATACCAAAGAAATAAAATCATCTCACTTGAGAAAGATGTTACTTTATTAATTATTCATACAGATACAATGTTTACTTTTCTTATTGAGTAACAAAACTATTATATACCACAATAGAAGTGTGGAAAAATTCTGAGAGGGTGGTATCCCAAAGATTTTCTTGAGATTCTTGCTCTAATGTGGTTTTAAGAGAAATGATAGTTTAGATCAAGAAGAAGGTGGCAAATGGCTCACTAATTTGCTTGCTAAAAAGTTTTTACTTATGTGGGAATATCAGATTCATAGGCGCATGCACATAAGTTCCATAAATGAGGCTTATACAAAGTTCCATAAATCAAGGTGATAAGCTCACTCATAATGGTAATTATGAACTAAATAATGAAATAATTAGTATATCAGTTTTCAAAAAAGATCCATCAATGCATCTGAAAGTGAAAGTGTTAGTTGTTCACTCATGTCTGACTGTTTGTGACCCCATGGATTATAGCCTGCCAGGCTCCTCTGTCTGGAATTCTCCAGATAAGAATACTGGAGTAGTTAGCCAATTCCTTCTCCAAGGCATCTTCCTGACCCAGGGATTGAACCCAGGTCTCCTGCACTGCAGGCAGATTCTTTACCACCTGAGCCACCAGGGAAGCCCCATTGGGACCTCTACTGAAGAATTACATTTGATGTAATACGTTGCATGCATTCAGACATAATCTAGCTTGAAAAACTCCTGCAATGTAGCAATCCCTAATAAACCAAGAGACATAGGATAAACAAAGAAAATTGTTATCTATTTGTAGTAGTAAGGAAAGAAATTGAATTGTTTGTACAGTCAACTGTTCCTAATATTTCCAAACTCCATCTTCTCATCAACATGTGTATTTGAGAATACAGGATTGTGCAAATCCTGATGAGGGGTACCAAGACTGATTTCACAAGGAGAGTCAATATTCACTGAAGACAGAAGTAATTAATTAGCTGCTTTTAAAAATCTCAAACTTCCAGACAAATTACAAGTATGGTACAGATAACTCTCTTTATGAACCATTTCAGAGAAAGTTACCTACCTGATTCTCCAGATATTTAGTATGTACTGTGTATTCCTACAAAGATGTTCTGCAACATAAATATATTTCAACTAAAAAATCAGGAAATTAACATTGATATAATACTATTATCTGACCCTCAGTATTCAGGGCTTCCAAATTATCCCAATAATGTTTTTATAGAAAAAGGATCCAGTTTAGAATCACAGGTTGAGCTTAGTTGTCACCCATCACTTCATGGCAAATAGATGGGGAAACAGTGGAAACAGTGACAGACTTTATTTTGGGGGGCTTCAAAATAACTGCAGATGGTGACTGCAGCCATGAAATTAAAAGATGCTTGCTCCTTGGAAGAAAAGTTATGAACAACCTAGATAGCTATTAAAAAGCAGAGACGTTACTTTGCCAACAAAAGTCAGTCTAGTCAAAGCTGTGTTTTTTTCAGCAGTCATATATGGATGTGCATTGAAGAATTGATGCTTTTGAACTGTGGTGTTGGAGAAAATTCTTGAGAGTCCCTTGGACTTCAAGGAGTTCCAACCAGTCCATCCTAAAGGAAATTAGTCCTGAATATTCATTGAAAGGAGTGATGCTAAAGCTGAAACTCCAATCCTTTGGCCATCTGATGTGAAGAACTGACTCATTAGAAAAGACCCGGATCCTGGGAAAGATTGAAGGTGGGAGGAGAAGGCGACGAAAGAGGATGAGATGGTTCGATGACATCACCAACTCAATGGACATGAGTTTGAGTAAACTCCGGGAGTTGGTGATGGACAGGGAGGCGTGCTGCAGTCCATGGGCCTGCAAAGTGTCGGACATGACTGAGTGACTAAACTGAACTGACTCTTTAAAGATTACAGATCAGTTATTTTGTGGAATTTCCCTCCATTTGGGTTTCCTGTTTCCTCGTGATTAGGTTCACAGTACGTATCTGTGACAGGATACCACAGGCATGATGCTATGTTCTTCTCTTGGGTCCTCCCAGGTGGCAGACAATCGCAGTTTGTCCCGTTACTGATGCTTAGTGTGATCCTTTGATTGACGTGGAGTCTGCCAGGCTTCTCCTCTCTAGAAGTTCTTTTTCAACTTGTAATTAATAAGTATTTTCTGGGGAGGTATTTTGAGACTATGTAGACATCCAATTCATCATCAAAATTTTAATTTACTCATTCATTTATTTACATCACTGTGAACTCATTTTCCTATTCTATTAAATGGGTTATAATTCATAGCTAAAATTATTTAGTTTGATCCTCAAATTATACCAGAGTTGGCCAATGAGAGCTCCTTCAGTCTGGTTCCTGTCCTTTTGACTTGTCCTCATTATTCTTTAAGTACTTTTTTACTTTTGGGCAGGCTCGTTTTGTTATTTGTCTGTATCAGCCATGGAATCAGTCATTTCTCCAAGGTGCCCCAGTTTCTTTTAGTTAAAAAAAAATGGTATTTAGAAACCAATACCTGAGTGCTAGGTGTGCTCAATGCTATTGAGATGTCCCTGCTTCTGGGTCCTTCTGCTGGACAGAATTAGGAAATATGTCATATACATATAGATATTTACACTGTTTTTCATATATATATATATATATATATATATTCATTGAAAACCATGTATTCACATCAACACATGAAGATTTTAATTTTCTTCTTTCCCACAATCATAACTTATCAGACAATGAGAAAACCTAGTTCCTATTATTGTTATTGTTTAGTTCGTCAGACTCTGAAGTGAATGCCGTCTTCACTCACACACTCTGACACCCTTCATCAGCCCATCTCCACCCACTCCCCTCCATGAAGATGTCCCCTTTTCCCCATCCCAACATCTGTACTGAGCAGCTACATTCCTGGAAGTACAGACACCCTCCTCATGCCAGTCAGGTGCAAATGCAAACCCCTGCTCTAGGACACTGTAGCTCCCCCTGCCACCCACAGATGCCTTTTTGCTCAAGCCCACTGACCAGTTTGTTTTCACTGGTCTTTTATCAACTTCATTACCTGTTCACACAACCTTAGTAAGATGCTGTAACCTAAGGAAACCTTCTGGGGACTGCATTGTCTCAGAAAGGTGAGGGAGTGATGGAGCCTTCTAACATGGCCTGGGGGAGACAGCCCCCTCCCCTGCTCCACCTGGCCTACCACAGTGAAAGCTGTCACCCTGCTATGGGTGTTACAGAAACGTGAGCAGGCAGCTGCTCCTGTGCCCTGGGAAGCCTGCACAAACGGCGTTGGCATCCTTCACAGCCCTCACTGTCCCAAATGCCGCCTTGCCCCAATCTACTCTTTCGTAAGTTGGGCTGAAGACAGAAATTCCAGGGTGTGCCTCCCACACTTGCCATGAAGTGGAAAAGCGCCTACTGCCACCTCCCACCCTAGGGGTTTGAACCTTCCCGCTGTCTCACTATGCACCGTTGAGAGACTAGTGAAAAAGAAGAAAAAGGCTTTTCTTGACTATAGGTCTAGTAATTTTAAATAAGACTAAAAACATCATTGTCTTTTGCCATGAAATGACTGAAGGTGAAACTTAGTGAACTTATAATGTATCAAGGAGTGTAATTATGAGATAATTTAATTGCTAAATCATCCTGTCTAAATTAGAAACTGTTAAAAGCAGAGTCTGTGCTCATAAACATTTAATATTTTATACTAATTTTTATTTTATGCCTTCAATAAAAATGATTTAACAGTGTTGTCTTATATTTGAAAGGTTTGGAAATGCCTGTGGACGGACTGTTACATTTTTGGCTCTCTGACACTTACTCAGAAGATGGCATTACTCAGCTTTCTTTTGCTGAACATTTCAACGATAATGATATGGTGAGGAGGAAAATGCGACACACTCTGGGAACTTAAATAACTGTGAGAACATTCCAGTCACAGGTTGAGATTTGTTCACACGGAACCCGAGGTGTAACTTTGTCACAGCATTCGCAGCTCTCTGATTCTCAGGAATCATCTTTTGTTTTGAAAACAGTCACACACGCTCCCTCTCCAGAGGCTTCCAGGGCAGGGCTCTCGTCTCCCCGTTGTTTCTGAGAATCTCTCAGACGTAAGGAACATTCCAGCAGCTTGAAGCCAGGGCTCAGGTGCACCCAGGCATGGTTTAGAACCCAGCCAAAGGAGGCACTGATGGGAGAGGGCACCCCCTGTTACTGTTTTAGAGATCTTTTTTAAAGCTCCTCAAATCCAGGTCATTTTTTTGTTTTATTTTTGTCTATCTCTGTCAGCTTTCACTTTTGTTTTTTTAACCTGGCTGTGGTGGGGGAATCAAGTGCCTGGAGCACACCCACCAGCAGCGCCGAGGCATCTCCCAGTTCCCTGAGGAGCTGACCTGGCTGGAGGAAGTGAGAGAAAACGACGCTCCAAGCTCCCTCGGCTCAGGTTGGAATGCCCGCCCTCGGCCTCTGCAGATGTCAGCCCAGGGCTCCTTCGAGGACTCCTCAGGTGCAGGCCCCTCCTGGGAGCCATGTTGGATCACCACAGCGGAAACAAACCTGCCCTCCTTCGAAGAGTTGCTGTTTTCTGATACGTTCCTAACGGCTCACCACTTTGAGCAAATCGTGACTCCTGACCTTTGTGGCATCTTCTGATCTCCTTGGGTAGGTAACACTAAGTTTTTCGAAGTCAGGCACTCAATGGGATTCAACCTTGAGTTTCTCACCACACCTCAGTAGAACAAAAAACAGGTATTGAATGAATAAAGGAAAGGAGAGAATCAGACAGAATGAAGTTTCAGAGGGTAAAGCCTATATGCAATACGCGGGTATCACAGAGGCTACAGCTTTAACAGTTAGTCACAGTTGTCTTTTTTTTTTTTAACTTTTAATGTTTATTTATAATGTAGTATTTTTAAATTTTTGGCTGCACCCTGCGGCACGTGGGATCTTAGTTCCCTGACCAGGGATCAAACGCACACCCCCTACATTGGAAGGCCAAGTCTCAACCCACTGGACTCCAGAGAAGTCCCAGGTACAGTTGTCTTAAAAATGAGGAAGCCGAGCTAATGGAGAGGATAAGGTCTAACCAGGCATGGATGGACGTTGTGCTCAAATTCCCCTGTGGCCTTGGCTCCAATACACTTAGGTTCTGAAATTCTGTAGCTTGGAGACACCTGTGAAGAATCAGAGACGTCATGGTCTCGGCTTCATTGTCAGGAACAGCTCAGGACTGGGATGTGAAATATTGAAGTAAAAACTCAAAGCTTTCAAGAAAAAAGAAAGCTGTGTTTGTCTACTGAAGACAGAGACGGATGAGAACACAGAGCAATGAGGACAGACCAGGCTATCGGCCACATCTCCGGGTGCGCTTGGCCCACGCACTCCCCCAGCCCTACCTGGGCAGCCACGTGTCAGCCTCTACAGCATCAGTAACACACGTCCTGGGCGGTCACTCCGTCAGCTAAGCTATGCCCACCACCCCAAAGCGGGCCCTGTCACAGTCTGACTCACTGCGATCAAGGGCCTCCTTTTCTCTCCTCTCAATTGTGCGGAGTGGTTCTTTGGCCTCGGGCTTCGTTTCACAGAGCCTGGTTCTGGATGGTCTCCAGCGTCTCTCCTCCGTGCTTACAAAAGCACCGGGCTGAGAGGGCAGATTGGGACCAGAAAGTTTTTTTGGAACTTCTTTTGGCGACAAGCCTAAAAGGCCATTAAAGCTAAAAGCCATGTAATTTTTCTGCTGGGCAGAGAATAGAGTGAGGGTCTGGTTCTATTTATGAAGTAAGATTCCTGCCTTTGTAGGAAGTTTATGGTAGAAATAACCCATTTTGTGTTTTCAGTTTAAAAATGATTTCTTCTGCTCTGCTAGGTGAATAAATAATTGTGCTCTGTTATGATAGAGATAGTCATTTTGTTCACATATGAGACCCTCTGGAAACAACAGATGATAAAGGATCAAGGCTGGGTATCAGGAAGTCTTAAACTTTTTCAAGTGTGTATCTTCGAAGAATGTTAAAGAATAAAGACATCCGGTAAAGGTCAAATTCATGTTCTTATTTAAGGACTGTGTTCATTTGACATTTTGGTTGAGGAAAGACAGTTTCTCTGCTACTCAGAGAAGAAGTAAAAGTTGTCTAATGGCAGCTGTAGTGCGGCTGTTAAACAAAGGCCTGATACTCATTTCCTCTCTGTTCTAAATCATTGGGGGTGGATGGATGGCTTTGCCAGATGAAGGAAGACAACAGTAAAGGAAAATAAAAGACGTCCCTATCCACGAAGACACAAGCACAAAAACCATTTCAAATGAAACGTGCTTGGTGAACATCTTTAGTTTTAACATGCATACACAAATATGCAACCTGAAAAAATGGCTTTGGAGGATAAAGTGAAAGTTGCCCAGTCATGTCCGACTCTTGCAACCCCACAGACTATACAATCCACGGGATTCTCCAGGCCAGAATACTGGAGTGCGTAGCCTTTCCCTTTTCCAGGGGCTCTTCCCAACCTAGGGATTAAACCCAGGTCTCCCACATTGCAGGCAGATTCTTTACCAGCTGAGCCACAGGGGAAGGATAAAAAGGAAGCAAAAAACACTGGCAGAATTTCCTACAGACTTCAAATTTTGTGTAGGCTTGGAGAAATAAAGTGCTTGACGAAGACTGTCTTGTGAGTTTGAACTGCTTGACATGACTGATACTATTCAGTGATGGTCAATCATTTAAACCAGTGGAAGGCCTCAGAGAGAAATGTTGTTGTCAAAAGGAACCTTGATTGGTTTCTACACCTGTTCCAGCCACTTAATCGCTGGCACAGAGGCATCGGGGTGTTCAGAAGTCCTGCCCATGGTGACTGCCATGCTGAGAAGCTGCTGCTGGGCCTTGGAGTCCCAGCCTCTGCTGGCCTCTTAGCACCATCCAGCATCGCCCCACCTGCCCACCTCAGACACTGCCTGTATTGCTGTTGCCCACACCACAGTCCTCCCAGCCTCTTGAGCAGCCACGGGAGCAAACACTCTGCTGCTGAGCTTAATTCATCTTCCTCTTACAGACTGTGTTTAGGGCTGGCTGGCAAAGATCAATGCTTCTCCAGCGTGCTTTGGACCAGAGAGGAAACGAGCAGAGGGCTTTTCAGTTCACCGCAGCTGTAACTGTCTCCGTACAACTTTGTCTTCCCTGCCCCGACCCACAGCGGTCCCCTCATTTGGACCATAGCTGGCATTGGTGGGTTGAATTCTGTTTAAGAATAACCTGCCCACCTGCCTGTTTGTTGGCAACTGAGATATTTTGTTACAGGGCCCTTATTGTAAAACCTTTACTATCCATTTATTATAAATTACTACTGGTACATTTTCAAGTTGTCAGAAGAATTCTCTTCTATAACGCTACTGGCGTATCTTTAAAAAACTATGATCTAAACATTCATTTAAATATTTACAGAAGGAGTTAAGTAGGAAACGATTGCTGCAAAAGTGATGACTTTGAATGCTATTTTTAAAAATTTCGTTTATCCCAACTTTTAAAAGAGTATATGCTGCATATATTGTTGATACATATATAAGAGATGAGGTTTTTCCTTCATGAAAGCAAAGAAAGAAAGAGTTCAGAAGCTATAGAGCTATGCTGTTGTTTGGTTGCTAAGTCATGTCCGACTTTTTTACAAGCCCATGGACTAGCCTGCCAGATTCGTCTGTCCGTGGGATTTCCCAGGCAAGAACACTGGAGTGGGTTGCCATTCCCTTCTCCAGGGGATCTTCCCAACCCAGGGATCGACCCGTGTCACCTGCATCTGCTGAACTGGCAGGCAGATTCTTTACCACTGAGCCACATGGGAAGCCCAAGAGTTCAGAAGACAGAATTTAATTAAGCAAGTACTTAAGGAATGTGAAAGCTGTTTTGTGTTGGAGGGAGAAGAAAGGGAGAGGGAATGAAAATATCTTGCTCAGCTAAAGAGAGAGGAGATTCGACTCTGCCTTTTGCTTGAGATAACACCTGTGTACTCATCACTATGGAAAACAGCTTCCATTAGCATACAAGGACCTGGGGTTGCCATTGCAAAGAGACTTCTGTCAATGACTCAATGTCTTATTTTATTGGGATTTCTGAGAAGCACACATTTTTGTAAACTCTTAATGTTATTTTCTGACTGTTTTTGTTTAGTGCTCAGTCGTGTCCGACTCTGTGAGTCGGACTGTCCATGGTCAAAATGAGCGAGAATGTTTTATTTCTGTCCATGGTCTGTCCATGGAAATCACTCGGCAAGAATACTGGAGTGGGTTGCCATTCCCTTCTCCAGGGGATCTTCCCAACCCAGAAATCCAACCCCGGTCTCCTCCACTGCAGGTAGATTCTTTGCTGTCTGCACTACTAGGGAAGACTACTAACCACTAAATGTGTCAGAGTTGATGATAAAAGAGAGTCTTCGATATGTACCTCTTTAAAATTCAGAGGTAAATTTCTCATCCCTGGTGGCTCAGCTGGTGAAGAATCCACCTGCAATGGGAGAGACTTGAATGCAATCTCTGGGTTGGGAAGATCCCCTGGAGAAGGGAAAGGTTACCCACCCAGTATTCTGGCAGGCTACAGTTCATGGGGTCACACAGAGTCGGACATGACTGAGCAACTTTTCAATTTTGAAGTCCTCAGACTGTGAGAGTCTGTGACTCTGTTTTAAGAAAATGCTGGGACCGGGGAGGAGTCAGGCTACCCAGGGCACACGGTTAATGATTGGGGACCTTAGCGGAATGCTTCATTATGAATAACAGGCAGTTCTCATGTTCTAGTAAATACAGTGATGTACTTTCTAAAATCTCTCTACCCCTAAGATTCCCAAATTCATCATATAATTTATCGTTGTTTGTTGTTTGGGTGAGCAAAAAAATCCTTTTTTTTTTTTGTCATTTTTTAAATTCAATAAGCCAGTGCAAAAAAATGCCCTGCATTCTAACCTATTTGGTCTCTCACAATGCCCTTTAAGTTGAAAGAAAATGAAGAATTATTATAGAGATCCACTGAAAAATTTTTAATGCAAAATGAGCGAGACTCTTTTGTTTCTGCTACTGGTGCAATATTTTCTCACGGTTATGCTCTTGAAACATGTATCTGTGATAGTTTAAGAGCTGAATACATAATTTAATACTGCCCAAGGCCAGCATTAGCTAAAGCAGATGTTTGTGAAAGATGCATGTCTTTAGTGGAGGCTTGAGCTGCCCTAATTCGGTCCATTTCACTCTGCCTCCCTTTCAGGGCTCACCATATCCTCTCTTCCGCAATGGCAGATACTAGTAACACACACCCCATTTAAAGGTAGCCCACAATCCACCACGATGAAGCTGCCCCAAACACAGAAGGTGGTGGTCACTGGGGGCTATTGACACATCACTGAATCCCTGAATCTCACAGCAGGAAGACCCTCAGGATGTTACTGGTTCAACTTGATGCTTGGATTCTCTGCAATATCCCAGCCACATAGTTGAACTCTGCAGTGATGGGGACTCTCAAGGTCCCACATTTTCTCTGTGACTACATCGTTCTCACAAGGAAGCAGTTGGAGGATGGTGACTAGGACCACCAGTGTAAGAATCTCAGCCCTGCCCCATCCTTCCTGTGTGACCTTGGGCTTGTTCCTTTAACCTCTCTGTTTCCGCGTGGCCTTGACCTCATAGGATTGTTCTGAGGATCCAACGAGACAATAGATATAAAACCCTTAACACAGTGTCTAGCATATTGTAAGGACTAAGTGGAAGCCATTTTTAATAATTTAAATTCATTGTCCTTTTCACTAGATTTTCAACCTCTGTTTCTGGTCCTGCTCCCAGAGCAGAGCTAGCTGCTAATCTCTCTCCCATGTGCCTGTCAGTCAGATATTTGAACATGTTCATCATGTTCACCTCTTTTTCCTCCATCCTTTGGATTCTTGGTTACAATCACCCCTAATCACTGACATTTCTCCAAATGCCCAATGTTCCCTCCCAGCCTGGACTTCCTCCTCTGTCACTTCCAACCCTCTTTGGCCTGATCAAATCCAGCTCCTCCTTCAGGCCTCAACTAAGATGTCCCTTCTGCCTGAAGCCTTCCCTGGTCCCTGATGTATCTCCCAGTACCAACTGTTGCTTATTTATCCCGAACACTACCTTCAGTTTCGCAAGAAGAGGAAGATGCAGGGAAAGAACTAGCCAGGAGTGGAGGCGGGGTAAAATACCATATGGATCATGACTTGAAAAAAAGTAACCCTGCAGCAATGTGGACACAGAACTAAAGTCACTAACAGAGGTTGATACTAACAATGTCCTGTTTTTTTTTTGGGGGGGGGGGCAGTGACTTTACCTCTCAATGGCTGAAAGCGTTGGTCTCCAGGAGGCAGGGTCAGTGTCTGCTTCTTTCCTCATCTCCAGGCCCTGGAACAGTGCTGCTCATTAGATATTTCTTTAACATGTTTGTGAACTTCATTTCTGAGAGCTTACACATCTATTTTCCTACCTGCTCCTCCAGACAAACTCGGGGAGCCAACAGAGCCTTTTTCTAGTTAACCCTCTTTGCAGAAAAGTAAATTGGGAACTCGGGAGCAGTGGCTGGTGAGAGCCAACTTCAGTCCTAGCTCTTCAGAGCAGGACTCTCCCACGACACTAAGTGTCTCTCCCTGTCCTCCCCGCTGAGCACAGGGAAGGCGCCACACCTCACAAACAGGAAGTGACACTGATCAGACAGACTGGTCTGCCTGCACAGACCCTTCCTCTCGTGAGGAAAAGCAGGATTGTATCTGTCATCTTGATTCACATGGATGGTAAAGACCGGAAGGCAGATCTCTGGGATCATGAAATGGGAAGAGGTCAGAGGGCACTCTGTGCCCTCCCCCCACCCCCCAGCTCAGCCTATTTCTTGGCCTTGGTCTAAGTCAGTTGCACTGTCATCTGGAGAACCATAGCTTGCTCCTCATATAGCACCTGGTGTTGGTTATGCCTACTTGTGCTAGCTGTCTCCTCTTAGCTAGGACAATTCCTTGGCTCTTCTAGGAAACAAGCAAAAGTGGGGCCTTTTCTGTTTGGAAGGCACCTCACTCAGCCTTTGCAGTGAGATGGAGTTGTTTTTGTTGTTCAGTTGTTAAGTTGTGTCCGACTCTTTACGACCCCATGGACTACAGCACGCCCGGCTTCTCTGTCCTGCACTATCTCTTGAAGTTTGTTCAAACTCATGCCCATTGAGTCGGTGATGCCATCCATCCATCCCATCCTCTGTCTCCCCCTTCTCCTCTTGCCCTCAATCTTTCCCAGCTTCAGGGTCTTTTCCAGTGAGTTGGCTGTTCACATCAGGTGGCCAGGCCTCCTTACAAAGTCCAGCCTGAATTTAGGAAAAGGTCTCCATCTTCCTTTGTTTTCTGAAAGACACGCCCTGAGCTGATCCAGTACACTGAGTGCTTTTCCAAGTGTCTGGAAACAGTCGGAGAGACTTTTGAGCAAGGCCAGACAAACAACCGTTTATTCCTTTTCGTTCTCCCATCTCCAGTCTCTCCCTTGGGTGTATTAAGCCCAAGCCAGGGACAACCCCGGCCAAATCTCAGGCTAGAATCCACAGCTGTGCTTTGCTGGTGCTGAGACCCAACAGAAAAGCAGTGATGAAGTTGGCCGGGAGGTGTAATGGAGACAGGCATAAACAGACCACAGGCCCAGCAGGGAGACCGGACTGAGAGCCCCGACTCATCGGCCCAGAAGTCTGCTTGGAAGCTCAGGCTACCCCAGAAGCCTCCATCATCCCAGCCACCCCTGTGGATGCACTTAGCCCAGAGACAGGAAGGTGGGAAGGGAATCAGCCTGGTTGAAGGAGGCATCATGACGAGTTCCAAGGCTGGTGAGAAAGCGGAGCTCATGGCAGTGTGGCCCAGATGGGTGAGCCTTTATCTTGGGAATTCTAAAATCAGCATGACAGGGGTGATGGTATCTGACTCCCGAGCTAGCAAGGGCAAGAAAAGAAACCATAGGACTTCAGGAAGGAAGGGGTTTTACCACCGCGAGACTTACTTTTATAGGAGCCTTTGCCAGTCTGCTCTATGAAATCTGCCTGAGCTTTAACAAAAAATTCCAAATTTACTCACCTGGGTTAGACTGCAGATCAGTATACAGTGTCCTGAAGTATTGCTTTTGAGTCATTTGTCAAGATCACATGTGTACCTTTTCCAGATTCTATGCAAGAGCTGTAGCAAACGTGGATACTTTCACTGATGGATGGATAGACAACATGTTGTAACGAAACAAGGGAAAAGATTGTTAAAATTTTTATAAAAATAGTTATTCCTATTTATAGTTAAAGGGATTCGTGTTTGGTTTAACTAATTCTCCTTTTACCTCAAGAAATGACTTTGGAGCTTTGCTGACTGTAGGTGGAGTGGGAATGAGTCAAAATGAGCCGGTTGAGAGAATACCACGTTGGCATAAGCTAAACAAAGAAGGCAGGAGACTTGATGGAATTTGAGGGAAATAAGCTCTATCTTGCGAAATACTGAGTTGTTAGAGGGCAACATTTGATCTGCAAGGTTTGGGGGCTTACAGAGAAGCCAGCACACGTAGTTCTATGATCTCCAGAGTGGAGCCGAGATTACAGTGCTTGCGGTGGAAGCTGTAACATATCCCCAGCTTCCTTTTTTCTGGGAAATAATTTTACATTATGACTGTTTGTGACTAAAATGTAGTTCTATTGCACAATATCACCCTCAGAGCCATCTTCCTCTGTGTCCAGCCTTCTGAATTACATCTCCAATATGCCTTCAGGCTTATTACATACAATTAGAAAATCTTCTTAAGTAGCTCATTTTTCCCCCAAATATGTAATTTTGGCTGAATGATATTAAGAGGTTTAAAAAAAAAGAGATACCATTACATTAACTGAAATTATTACTATTTTAATTTGCCTGCGAAGCCTTTATTTCAAGTATCATTTCGTATAACTTGTAACTTGGTGGGTATCATAATCCTGATAGAATTTTAGCTACTTGATAGCCTGAGACATTTGGGGGGAAATCATTCCCCAAAGAAGATCAGTTTAATGAGTACTTCTGGTGTTAACTGTGAACTGCTATTTTCCACACTCTTAAAGTACATGACGAAACCAGGGACTTATGCCACCTTTTTTAATGTAACACCTGGTGTTCTGTCCCTCCCCTCTCCTGACCCTAACAGTCATCCTCCAGGAACGCCTGGCCAATTTATGGAATTGATGGACTGCAGAAAAAGCAGAGGAGCCGAGCCAGCTTCCTGAAATAGCAAGTTTTAAGATGAATTTCTGGAACAGCCACCTCAAGGTGCAATACAATGAAACTTTCTCTTATAATTTTCAACCAGCCAAACCTTTGCCAAGAGGGTATTATTTGTTAGAGAAAGTGACATCCCTGAGAATACAAAAAGCAAATCACTGAGAGCAGTGGAAATCTCTAACCACTCGCTGTATTTCCTCTTCAGCTGAAACATGGTGCAAACTAGGACACAGCGCTCTGTGAAATGTTCATCGTGGGTATGGCATATGGTGGTCTCACGATGAAAGTGGTGCTTGGGATTTCTCCCCTCTGCTCCAAACACAGCAGCAACAAATACCCAGCTGGTATTTCATATGGATTTTATAAATTAAATCAAATATTAAATACATTTTATAAATATAAAATATGGCTATGTTAAAAAAAGTGAGCTAAACATCTTAACGGACCAGAAACAGAACTGCAAAATGGGAAGTGTCATGAGCCAGAAGTCTATGGGGCTTTGAACACTGAAGCAGAAGGCGTGATAAAGAGTTGATTCCTGTGACCTGAACAATAGCATCTTGTGTATAGTCGAGGACTAACGGTGAGCTTGGGATTCCCTGGTAGCCCAGTGGTAAAGAATCTGTCTGCTAATGCCAGAAATGAAGGTTTGATCCCTGGGTGGGGACGATCCCCTGGAGAAGGAAATGGCAACCTGCTCCAGTATTCTTGCCTGGAAAATCCTATGGACAGAGGAGCCTGGCAGGCTATAGTTCGTGTGGTTGCAAAGAGTTGGACACCACTGAGTGACTGAGCACATACATACAAACACACACACACACACACACACACACACACACAGTGGGGGCTTTCTGCACACAACTAAGGTCTGGATCAGGCTTTCAACATGTGGAAGGAGCCAGAAAAAGCCCTAATTGCTGTTCGCTGACTGTGGCAGTGGTGGAAGGAGGCAGAGAGAGCAGCTCAGGCCAGGCTGTCCCCTGGTCTGGTGACTGGCTCTGGGACGACACCGGTATTACTGTGGGAATGGACACTGAATTACTAGGTCAAGCCCCGGGGTCCCAGGGTGATTCCCAGTGTCCACAAACAGGTAGACAGGGTGGGGTAGTCCACAGAGAGGCGGAAGCACCCACTCAAGATGAACCTGCAAACTAAAATGTCAAAACTTATGACGAAGAAAGCAACACTGAGAAAAGTAGACCCCAACTCAAATGTCAGATGTATTAGTTTCTTATTGCAGCTATGACAAACTAACATAATCTTAGTGGCTTAGACCAACACAAATTTATTATGTCATAATTCTGTAGTTCAGAAGAGTGAACCAGAGCTCAGTGTGAAGCCAAAATTAATTTTTTAATTGAGAGGGTAAGATCTGAAAATCAGCATCAATTATCTAACTGAAGAATGGTCTTGTGTATTGTAACCAGACAGCTTAGTTCAGATGAATTATCTTGAATAAGATGCAGAGCATCCCTGCCACTAGGAGCATTGTGATGGTACAGCTGGTCCTGCACCATAAAGGGGGGGAGGGGGGATCATGGAAAGGACATTGAAAATATGTGGGTCTTGTGTACACTGTACCTGAGCTCCCTCTGTTCTTAAACTGTTGGAAAATGGATTGCCCACCTTATCCTTAGTTGGAATTTAGATCTAGAATGTATTTTATAGTTCAAATTTGGCCAAGTATTCCTAGGACAGAAATATGCAGATGTTATCATCTAGAAGAAAATGCTGCTGAGTAGGGGATCAGAAGGTAAGAAAAGAATAAGTGTGTATAAGCATAAAGAATCAAAATATAGTTGAGCACCTAATTGGACAACTGCCTTCTACCACTTCAACACTTGAATCTTCCTGGCTACTTGCACAGTATTGTTAAAAGTAGAATAAATCATCTGACATGACTACGTTTTAGGAAAATACGTGAGAGTCATTCAGGCACAAAATCAGTTTGAAATAGATGAAATTTTCCATCTGAGTGGCTTCTACCAGGACAGAATGTTTCTAGGAGTGCAGTATTTTTAATCTTGTTTTAAAATAAATACTTTAATGTATAAATCACTCAATTGTAAAGGCACTTCAATTTTATTTTCCTTTAGTTTTAAGGTTTTGGAATTGCTCTGTGCAGTTCCAACTAAAAGCTCTCAGATAAAACTTGCATGCCGAAAACCACCATCACAAATGTGCAAGTACAACTATAAATTTATACAACACGCAAGCTGTTTGTAGTTTGCAAAATTTGCTAATAAAATGCAGAAGTAGGGTTTCCATTTACACTCGCTGGCACTGGCACTGCATGTATATCTTTAGTGCAGGCAAAGATGGAAAATTCCATGCGCAGAGAATCTTTTGTGGATGCGACAGTTTGCTAATATCTTAATGAGTGAATTATGATAATTATAGAAATCTTAGCTTTACATTATTTGTGAAGTGTGTGCGTGTGTGTGTATGACAGCCTTCCCAGGCAAACACAGCCTTCTGACTCAGCAGCATTCAGTGAGGAATATTTCTGTGCTAATAACACAAAATGGATCTTAAACTGCTGCATATTAATCAAATTCATTAAAGTACATTCATTAATTTGTGTATATAACAGCCAAACCGGGAATGTAGAGTTTGCTGATTTTGCACAAAATGCCTGTATTAATGAATACTAAAACTTCCACATGAGTAATAGCTTTAAAAATTTTTTCATAAAGCAAAATTTTAAAGGGTAATACTGATAATTATTTTTAAAAACTTTCCCACTTTCACTTCATTTTGTATTATTTAGCTGTAAGTGGAAAAAATAAATATAGAAGAAAATAATTAAGAAATAAAGGGTAAGCCCAAAAGATTGTAAAGAAAAAAGAATAAAAGATTGGGCAACATTAATATTAAATTTCCTACCTCTCCTTCAAATCAATTAAAAAAATAGGTTCAGGGAAACTTAGACACACAAAACATGAATTTGAAGCTATATTAGGAAAGAGCCTTTCATTTCCTGTATGGAACTAGAGGTTGGGGGTGTGGCAAAGGAAAATAACAGCCATGAAGGTGCATCTGTATACTCACGTGTCTAAAACTAATGGAACATTTTTACACGTCAGGAGATCTAAGACTCGTACTAACAATCAGTGACTAGTGCTGGCTTCGGCAACACATACACTAACACTGGAGCGATGCGAGAATTAGTGTGGCCCCTTCATAAGAATGACATGCACATTTACATTCTATATTTTTTTAAAAGGTAACCATGTGCTATGATAGATGTGTTAATTAACTTGATTATGGTGACCATTTCAAAATGTACACATATCGTCATGTTGTACACTTTAAATATACACAATTTCATTTGTCCATTACTTGTCAGTTTGTCAAAATAGAAAAAGAAATCAGTAAGTACCTTTCTAACATTTTGCCCTTTCAGTTCAGTTCAGTTCAGTTCAGTTGGTCAGTTGTGTCCGACTCTTTGCCACCCCGTGGAATGCAGCTCGCCAGGCTTCCCTGTCCATCACCGACTCCCAGAGCTTGCTCAAACTCATGTCCGTCGAGTCGGTGATGCCATCCAACCACCTCATCCTCTGACGTCCCCTTCTCCTCCTGCCTTCAATCTTTCCCAGCATCAAGGTCTTTTCCAGTGAGTCAGTTGTTTGTATAAGGCGGAAGTGTTGGAGCTTCCGCTTCAATTTTGCCCTTTACCTGAAGGCTAACTGCTCAGAAGACAAGACTCATTTCTTTGTCCTCTGTGGCACTAAGCCCAGTGCCTGGCATGTAGAGGGCCCTCAATTAATACGAGATTTAAAATAACCATTGTACAAAGCAAAATAAGGTAAGAGTTACATGAGAGGTATAAACACATTTACAGAGGAAACACTGGTGAGGCTTCAGGTCAGCGGCTGCTTGCTGATCTGCAAGCTTCCCGAGGACAAGACCTTCCAATTTCTTCTTCCTCTCTGGTGTTCCAAAGAACCCTACTCCTGTGTGATTCGGGGAGGGAAAGGGAGTGTGAAATTCCTAAGT